GAGGCCGAGGCCTTCCCCTGAGAAGGACACCAGAAGAGCCCTGCTGGGCCAGACCAGGGAGGGTCCCTCTAGTCCAGCCTCCAGTCTCACACAGGGGCCAGCCAGTTCCTCTGGAGGGCCAGCAACAGGGCAGAGAGGCCGAGGGCTTCCCCTGAGAAGAGCATCAGAAGAGCCCTGCTGGGTCAGACCAGTGGCCCATCTAGTCCAGCCTCCCGTCTCACACAGTGGCTAAACAGTCCCTCTGGAGGGCCAACAACAAGGCAGGGAGGCCTAGGCCTTCCCCTGACAAGAACCTCAGCAGAACCCTGCTGGATCAGACCAGTGAAGGTCCATCCAGTCCAGCCTCCCGTCTCACACAGTGGCCAACCAGTTCCTCTGGAGGGCCAACAACAGGACACAGAGGCCGATGCCTTCCCCTGACATCGCCTCCTGGCTCTTCGGTTCAGAGGTTTAGTGCCTCTGAATGTGGAGGTTCCCCTCAGTCACCAGGGCTAGTAGCCACTGACAGACCTCTCCTCCAGGAATCTCTCTAATCCCCTTTGAAAGCTGTTTATTCCTGTGGCCATCACGACTTCCTCTGGCAGTGAATTCCACATTTTAATCACTCTCTGGCATTTTGTAGTTCTGAGGATTTTAGCGAGCAGGGATTTAAAAAACGTGTTTTCAGAACCCAAAAGTCTTTTTAGACTGACTTGAAAGGACTAATTTCCCAAAAAGTAATCAGGCTTCTGAAGAGAGATCTTAATGGACATGGTTGGCCAGACGATTATGGACTAATTCGGGTTGTTACTATCTCATCCAGAGGTGACTCACAGGCTGCGCGGGTCTTCAAAGGGAGCGCCTGGTGCCTGCTGGGGGGGGGCTTTGTAGCATTCTCGGAGGGTGGGGGGGCTTGATTCTTAGAGGCTGAGCCCCCGACATCAGCGAAACGATTGTCCTTCACTCCCAGGGAAGAAAGTGACATTGTTGTATTTGGGGGAAGTTCTGGCGTGAGGTCGGAACGTGTCCCTGACTCCGAATGCTGGTTGCCCAGGTGCCGCGTACTGGAGCACGGCCATCTCTGTTGTGGGGGCAGGGCCCCCTCCCTGGTGGTCCTGGGTTGTAGGGGAATTGTGCATGTGCTGAGACACACACACTCACACACACCCTCCCCCAGTAGCTGAACGGGTGAACAGGGAGCAGGAAGGAGTCAATGGCCAGTATTCCTCCCTCCCTCATCCCTCTGGGCAGTCGGGGCTCAGAAAGGGGAAATGTTCCTTCTTAGGGCCTTTCTTCTTACGCAGCCCCAGCGTGGTGTCCGTGGTTAAGAGCGGCAGACTCTGACCGGGAGAGTCGGGCTTGGTTCCCCACTCCTCCCCCACAAGGAAGCCTGCGGGGAGGCCCCGGGCCAGTCACGGTTCTCTCAGAGCCCCCACCTGCCTCACAAGCCATGTTCCCTCTACGCTGAGTCAGTGTGAGCTAGATCACAGGTTTCTTAGCCTCCTCTGGCTCACACGTTTTTGCCTCCGCTCGGGAAGGAGGGCTCCAGAGCACACTGATTGATGCAGGAGCCAAACTGCTCGCTCACAACTTCAATGCCAGTAGCTCACAAAGTAGAATTTTTGCTCACACGACTCCCACAGCTTAGAGGGAGCATTGCTCACAAGGTGCCTGTTGTGGGGAGCGGAAGGGAAGGTGATTGTCAGCCACTTTGAGACTCCTGAAGGTAGAGAAAAGCAGGCCATAAAATCCTACGCTGCTGCTTCTTCTTTTGGGGTGGTGGGGTAGTGGTGATTGATTAGGGCTGGGTTTGGAAAGACTCGCTTGGCCTTGCCCCACGAGAGGGATGGGGGTGTTCCAACACGTGCCCGTCTGCATCTTCGTCACCCGATCACTGGGGCCGTTTTAGCAAGCGGGGGGTGGGGGTGGTTGTGCTTGGGAATTGGGGCTGGATGGGGGGGAAAGCTGGAAGCCCCCATCCTTCTGTCACACAACCAGCTTAGAATGATAGAATCATAGAATGTTAAGAGTCGGAAGGGACCTTGAAGGTCATCTAGTCCAACCCCCTGCACTCTGCAGGAGCAGAGCCAAAAGACAGCCCTACGACATACCCGAAAGAGGGCCGTCCAGCCTCATGACAGTTTAATCAG